TAGGGCTGTGCGATTATTCGATTACTCGAGCAAGTTGGTTAATCAATTATTCGGTTAATCAATTACTCGAGTAATCAAGATTTTGATTACTCAAAACGATGATTAATCGAGTTACTTGAAATATGATTACTCAAAAATAATAATTTTGCTCGTTAAAAGAGTTTACTTTGGAAAATGCTTATTTTCTTTTTTACATTCTGTATATGAAAAAATTTTTCGTTTTAATTTTTGAAAACAGAAACGTTGTTTTCAAAGTATCAAGGAACTTTAACTACTTTATACATATGTAAAGAGTTGAAATGTTGATTACTCATTTTACTCAAAATGTTGATTAATCATAAAGCAAATTACTCAAATATTTTTGTTTTTGGTTAATCAAAAATTTTGATTACTCGAGTAACTGAACTTTTGAGTAATCATAATTTCCGATTAATCGAATAATTGAGTTATTTACTTTATGATTAATTAAAATTTTGAGTAATCAATTAATCGCACAGCCCTAATGTATGTATATTGGTTATGAGACAAAATAGATTTGTAACGTAAGTTTCACTTCTCCAGTGTTGCCTAGGCGCTCTTACCTTTTTTGGTACGTTTGGAACATCGCCAAATAACGTATCCGGCAATCTTTTCTTATTTTCACTTTTTAGATACATTTATCTACTTTTAGGTAAAATTGCTTTGGCAAATAGATGCAATTTGAAAATTTTATTTCCATCACTAGTGCAAAAAAAAATATTTTATGAAGTCAAAATATAGGTGGGTGTTATCAAATCAACGAATAGAGGTTAGCAGTCCGCGGATGCGCGACCACTTATTTTCTTCTTCGTGCTTAATTGTAACAGAAAAGTTTCTCCCATCCCTTGGCAGGCAATCGCCCGAACGGTTTGCACCCGATGTCATAGTGAATCTCACTTAGTCTGAGCTTATATCTTTCTCAGCCTTAGCGATTGAAGTATCCTTGAATAAAGTTTTTAGCGCAGATAATCAACTTCTGGTTGGCTACTTTTTCTGTCCAAAATGCTTGCCGTGAAACTCAATTCTTGTAAAAAATTTCAATTATGAGTGATGAGTTCTGGGTTGCCTAAATTCTGTTCAGTTCGCTTGGGTTATCGGAAGCCAGTCTTTTGATGTGCCTTGGTCTGAAATATCTACCGTCATTTTGCAAATATTTTGGTGGAAGCAAGGCCTAAACTTCCTCTTTCTGGCAATAGCCGTCTCGTATTCCGCTGATTCTTTATTAGCGCACTTGATCAGTTTAATCATCATTACAACTCGGTCTGGCCTAAAGACAAGCAACAGGAAGTAGACAGGAGTTCCTAGATGTTGGATGAAAAACGGCTCGAAGACAAAGGACTGGGACCTATAGGCGTCAAATGGGAGGTATTTTCTCATGGTGTTCTAAATGCTCGAGGCCAATTCTAAATTAAATTTTAGGTCTCAGCTCCACGTGAAAACTTATATTGGCCGATCGTTGATAAGAATGTATTTGGGACGCGAAAGGAAATTTGTTAGCATTTTTTCCGTCTTTGGCATTTGGTAAAAACACCATGAAGATTCCAACTAATTAAAATTAAGCGCGCCAGCCTGTTCAAATTAATATTTGCCTATCAAAACTTCAATAGAAGTTTGCAAAGCTACAAATTGGTAGAGTGGAAAGCTGAAGATGTGGTGGCTTCAAGAAAAGAGAATGACGATGATGAAAAGTTTAACCAGAATGTTACATATTTAGTGGTTTTAGGCCACTGTCATGGACCAAAAGCACATGACGAGCATTCTTGCAGTGATGCTCTCACATATACATATGTATGTATGTGTGGTTGTATGTATGTAAGCATATTTTAATGAAATAGCCCTGCAGGAAAAAACCCGAACTAGTAAATCAAAATTTCTAGTTCAGTAGTAGTTCTTGATCGCCAAAAACGAACCAGTCCGATAGTAACTTGGTCATCACCAGTGCAATAGCAGCGAAATGTGGTACTTTTACAATACCATTTTATTTTACTTTTTAAAACTGCATTTATTTCATCGGAAAGTTGGAATGTTGCCACAGTTACGGAATTGAATTTGGAAATTTCCTTATTTGTTATTAAATTAGCGATGAATAGAATCCATTCAGAACTCTAACAAATTATGACATACAAAGGGTAAGGTATCCACACAAAAGTTCAGCGTGATTTGACCTATGGTATGTACCTCAATTATAGCTGATATTAAATTTCAGAGATAGGGGAGGTAGGGCATATGAGCCCGTTTAAAACCAGTTACGAGCCAAATGCCGCATAATTAAACAAAAGTTTAAAGAATTAGAAAAAAAAATTACGCAAAAACCGTTATGATCCTAAGCTTTTTCAAGGTTAACTGTTAATCGATAAGATGAACAATTCTCTAAGCCCAGTAAATTTTCGATTATTTTGCACTAATATAAAACTCCTTCATACATTTTTCTAAAAATTTTTTTTCAAGTATGTACATACTTCTATTTATAAAATAAAATGATTAAGGTAGCAGGATGCAATTGGCACTTCGTAGGGCATAGCCATGTTAAAGTCGCCAGTAGCTGGCACTCAAAATTGAATTAGCGTGGCACTAGTGCGTTTCCCCATTGGGAATGTATGTAAATATGTATATGGGCAAACGCTAACACTGTGGGTGGCAATTTAATAAGACTTTATTGGTAAACTTTTTATTGCCTTACCAAGAATTTTTAATCGCAAAACATGCTCCGCAATATCATTAAGTTTTTCGCAAAGTTTAAATTTAGAAAACCGAAAAGGATTGTATGCAAGTGTAGTAATTAGTAATTCTCCTCTTCAGTTCAAACACTTCTTCTTCGGTTGTGCGAAAAATTTCCATTAAAAATCGCTATTGTTTGCCATTTGCGTTCTAAGAATATTTTCTTTTTCTCTACTTTGAGAACATTTTTTGCCAACCCAAATATTTACAATTCACACCACTCGCTTATCATCAAGGCGAAAATATTTAAAATCGTAAATAAAAAATCAGCAACACCAAATTGGTTCGCCACAAGTTCAATAAAAAATAAAAGTAAAAGGAAAAAACAGAGGGGAGATAAACAAAAACATGCATAAGCGTCGGTAAACTAAAACAATTGTGCCAATAAATGTACATACATAGGTATGAATAAATAAATATATACATATATATGTATGTATATATGTAAATATTCGTTTACTACAAGTTTCATTATTATTTCAAACTCAAGTGTTGCACAAATAATTTAGCTTTTTTCTTTTGCAAAATAACCTTCTGCATGTGTAAGCATTGCCTAAAAATAGGCGCAAAACCGCACGAAGGTCTTCTTTTTCTGCGAAAGGGCGAAGGGTTGTAAAAGTTCAAGTTCAAGCGCAGAAAAGTGATGGCGAAAATTGACGAGCCACCAGACAGCTTGGTGACATTTGCAATAAAACAAATATTGCTATTTTAAGAGCAAATTGACATGAATAACAAATGGGGATAAGCAGCAGGGCGCTTTCTTGCTTCACTTGCTACGAGTATGTATGTATGTATGCATGCAAATATGAAAACTATTTTATGTAAGTGCCCTTAACATTGTTTCGCATCAATTGTGTGGAATTTTATTATAAACTTCAGGACAGATAATGTGCAAGTGACAGCTGCTGCGTCGATTTCGCAGAGAGAAAAGCAGAGTTGACAAACATATTTTTGGAAATGTTGTAGCATTGAAATATAGGCATGAAGCATAAAATTTTAGCATTAAGGTGCAAATGGTATTTACTTAATAGCAAGGACAGCGTACCCCTATGTGTTTTTAACTGTACTCAATACTGTATATAATAGCAATCCCGTGAAGTCCTGAAATAGTTCCCAAACTCCGAAAAGTTACCAAAAATCACGAAAATTATAGTTCGAAGAATCGTGACAAGCCCTGAAAAAAACAAAGAAAAGTCCATAAAGAGTTCCCTAAGCTATTGGGTAAAACACAAAGAATCAAAAAATAAATAAATAATCACAAAAAATCGGGTGAAAATATTCAGAAATTTCGAAGGACCTGAAAATTAAGAAGCATTTCGTTATATTGTCAAGGTCTTAAATAAAAAAAAAATAAATATTTTCCAAGGTGCTTCCGTAAAACTAAAAACTCAGCTTAAAAGACGCTGCATAGTAACACTATTTGAAGGATGGGCTTCCCTGCTTGGTATTCCTATACCGAGACCTTCGAAAAACTAAATAATTTTCAAATTGCTCATGTGTACTGTTATTTCATCATTGGACATTTAAATAATGATATGAAATGTATGTATGTACATTGTGGTTGTCCTAAAATGCATGTGAAAAAGTAAAGTCAAAATTTTAATGCTCTCAACACCTAGGATTAATCTAAATTGAAAATATATACCCCTTTTTTATTTTGAAATCAAAAAATATTTAGAGGTCGCTCAAACCGCTCAAAGTTTTCCATGTACATGTATATATTTTATATGGGGAAAAAAAACATTTTTCGTGGAATGGTATAGAATTCTTGAACATCAATATTTTTCGATCGGAGAACTCTGATTTTCTTCAGGAAACTTCCAGTAATAATATCCAATTGTTTATTTTACACATGTTTTAAAACTAGCGACTTTTATGGGTCACCCCATTGCATTTTTGGGGCTTTAGGGTACCTACAAAAATAGTTAATAACAAAAACTGGTTAAAAAGCAATTGGGTATTGAAAGTCTCCTTAAGAGATATCAAGTTTTCAGATTGAAAAATATTGATTTTCAAGAGTTCTATACCATTTCTGGGAAAATTTGTTTCTTTCCCATGTAAGATACATGGAAATCTATAAGCGCTTTGAGGGAGCTCTAAATATTTTTTGATTTCAAAATAATTTAATTATTTTCGTTATAGAACAGTCCCAGCATTACGATTTCGGCTTAACTTCTTTTTTACTACCAATTTTATCCCTATACCAAACGCTCTAACACTATGCCTACGTACTAATCTATCCCTCCTTCATTATATCTTTTCAGGCCTACGAATGTCGTTTTCCAAAATGCCCACAAATGCCCATCGTACTCGACTGCGAGTTGATCAAGGATGAGGTATTGGAGAATGGCGCGAAACGCAATACGACTCGTCGTTGCAAATTGGCTGTCGATGCGCCATACATTTTCAAAAAGTTGATAGGTGTGGACTCTGTTTACTTCTTGCAACACAACTACCTCGATCTGGCCAATCGGACACTCAATATTGAGGCTGTGAATGAGAGTTTCTCATCGCGCATTGAAATTTTCGAACGTTGCCGTTACTATGCGCATCCCGACAATCCCGATTGGACATGCTTCGACCAAACAGCCACATTGGATATTAAAAACTTTTTCGGTTTCGAACACTCCATGGAGAAGATGGGCATGAAACAATATACACAAACCACTTTAAAAGGCAAGGAAATCATTGAGTATTTCATAAATGAATTGAAAGAGCAGGGTGTCACCGAAGTGGAACGTTGGGTGCCGCCAGTCGATGCACCCTGTTCGCCGACAACGCGTGAGGCTAGCGATGAAACCGCACAAAAACTAAAAGATGGCGATCGACGACGCTCCTCACACGATGTGCTGCTCGATGGTGACTTTATAGCGAAAAATTTGGGCACACTAACGCCAATGCAGGCATCGAAATTGTTGGAGCTGCGAAAAATGCTGGATGGTGACGAAGACTTGGAACAAATGCCAAGTTATCAGACCATACTGCGTTTTTTGACAGCACGCGATTGGCATGTGAATCAAGCGTTCACAATGCTCAAAGATTCGTTGAAATGGCGCAAGGAGCACAACATCGACTCGTTGGTTAAGGAATACAAAGCGCCAGCTGTGGTGGTGAATCACTTTCCGGGCGCTTGGCATCATCACGACAAGGATGGACGACCGATATACATACTACGACTGGGTCATATGGATGTTAAAGGCTTGCTAAAGTCCATTGGTAACGAGGGGCTGTTGAAACTCGTGAGTTTGTGTAGAAATGTTGCTGAGAGCCAAAAAATAAAAATAAATTCTTTACAGACGCTACACATTTGTGAGGAGGGTATGCAGCGTATCAAGGAATCTGCTGAGCGCTTGGGTCAACCAGTGTTGAGTTGGTGTTTGCTTGTAGATTTAGAGGGACTTTCCATGCGTCATCTGTGGCGGCCGGGCGTGAAAGCACTACTCAATATCATCGAAACTGTCGAAAGCAATTATCCCGAAACAATGGGCCGTGTGCTGGTGGTGCGTGCGCCGCGCGTCTTTCCCATCGCCTGGACTATAGTCAGCGCATTTATACGTGAGTACTGATTGGGTTAAAGGTGTGTGGGTACGACTACTTTACGTTTCTTACGCTTTGTCACAGATGAAAATACGCGCTCAAAATTCCTATTCTACGGCGGTCCCGACTGCTTGCACATGAAGGACGGCCTGGAGCAATACATCGATTCGGACATTATACCAGACTTTTTGGGTGGCCCATGTAAGGTAGGTCACAATCATTTCGTAAGGTACTGTAAATAAACTCAATTGCTTATATCGTAAACCGATTAGTTTGTTTGTAAGTTTACAGTAATTTATCCTTTTGTTAAACCTAATCTGAAATTCTATTTTTTCTAAATGCCTCCGAAATGAAATTTTGTCCTTAACAAAATTCAGTCTTCACTGGTCTACATTCCGTATGTGGAACAAATTAATCAAAAGTATTTTACGCATTGCTTTTTTCCTAATTGCGATTGTGTAAGAGGCGCTATTACTTAGCTTTTATGGTTTTCGTAAGCTTCACCACCATTCATTTGTCCAGTCATAGTCGTTACACTTTGTTTTCTCGTCTTTAATGTATACATATTGAGTGGCAGTGCACACAATTTATTTTCTTCATCATGTAAATCAAGTATTTGTCGGCTCATGTGCTTTCACAATGTTATTCAAAACATAGATTATTCAAATACTAAGTATGTATGTGTGTCAAGTAGTGTTTTCTGTCTGCACTTTGTACGATCGCCTCCAACATTTCTACGTAATTTCCTTTGCTTCAAAGCAGCGAGAAAACAGTAATCGGCCACCGTTCATTGACCTACTAATATCACAAAGCTTTACTTAAAGCTTAGGTTGGACATTTGTTTTTGTTTTTTTATCAAAAATCTTTAGATTTGTGCGGTTTGAGACAAGTTTTGCCTTTCTGAAGCTCTTTGATAGCATTTTTAGGGTTGACACCCATCAATGCAAATATCCTCGTTTGGCACCTTTAGTTGGATTTGTGAAAAATGTTGATCGATGGGTTGTCTCCCGCATCAAAGTTAGATTAGATGTATGTACACTAGGGTGGTCCAAAAATGCATGTTAAAAAGTAAGACCGAAATTTTTATGCTCTCACGCCCTAGAACTATTCTATACGGAAAAAAATATATCTCTATTTTTTTTATTTTGAAATAAAAAATATTTAGAGGTCGCTCAAAGCGCTCTAATTTGTCCACGTATTTTATGAAAAAAAAAAAAAATTTCACAGAAAAGGTATAGAATTTATAGTAATAAAAAATGGTTAAATGAACAAGTGGGTATTGTTATTGGAAGTCTCCCAAAGAAAACCAAAGCTTTCAGGCCAGTCAACAGAAAATACAATTGTCGGGCAATACCGGTATGCAAGCTGTCGGGAGATAGCGGAGGCACTAAACATGAACCACATGAGCAAAGAAGTTGGATCTTTGGGTGCCACATGAATTAGCGCAAAGAAATTTGATTGATCATCAGTGAAATGCTGCTGAAGCGCAATCAAATCGAACCAGTTTTGAAACGAATTATTACATGCGATGAAAAATATATATTAAAAACGAGAATAGATAACGAAAGCGATAATTAATGGTCAAAGACCGATAACCCTCCCCAAACGACTTCAAAGCTTGGATTGACGGCAAACAATGTTATGTTCAGTGTTTAGTGTGATTGGAGGGCAATTATTGTCCATTACGAACTGCTACAATGTGGCGAAATGATCACTGAACGAAGCAATCAGGAAGGAGCGACCAGATTTGGCCAACGGGAAAGGAGTTATGTTCCATCATGACAATGCCAGGCCACACACCTCTTTGATGTCTCCGAACAAATTAACGGAACTTGGTTGGGAAGTCTGAACGCCTACACCGTATAGCCCGGACTTTGCAACGTTTGACTTCCATGTGATGAAACGCACGTGATGGTAAAAAATTGACCGACCGAAGAGCCGCTAAAAATCACTTGGTCAATTTTTTCGCCGATAAACCACAGAAGTTCTGCACCGATGGAATTATGAAGCTACTCGAAACATGGCGAAAGGTCACAGATTATAAGAAAGAGATTTTTTTTTTTCAAAAATGTACCCAAAAACTCTCCATCTATGAAAGGTCAGACTCGTCGAAAGTTATCAAGTTACCGACATTTATCGAATCGTCAAAGTTGAACATGTTTATTGAGTTGCCGAAATTTATAGACACAGAGGCTGCATTTCTTTATTCATTCTGAACGTTTGGAATAAACTTTTTACTTTACTTACATATTCCTTAGAACGTTCCTGATGATACGTTAACGTATATTTTAAACTCAGTCTGTTTATTCCGGCTGTGAAATGGGATTATCCGGAATGTATAAAGAAACACGGCCAGAAACTTTGTTGTCGAAATTTACGGATAATTATTTATAATTATAATTAATTGGTCAAGTGAATGAAATTTATCAATTTAACGATTTTTATTGAATTATTATTATTTATAGAGTTAAAGTTTTTCGAATTATCGTAATGCATCGAGTTTTTTCAACTTATTGAGTTATCAGTATTTATCGATCTACTAAACTTTGCCGATTTACCGAATCGAAGCTCTTATAATTTTCTAAATATATCCAGTTATCGGTCAAGGGTTTTATAAGCTTATCGAATTATCACTGCTTATCGAATTTCATCATATTATCAGAGTGTATTAACGAGTTATGGAAATTTGTCGATAGCTATCAAAATTAACCGAATTATCGAAATTTATAGAGGTATCCAGAATTGTCGTAATGCATCGAGTTCTTTTAACTTATCGAGAGTTATTGATATTTATTGATTTACTAAAATTTGTCGATTTATCGAATCGATGTTTTTGGAATTTTCAAAAAATATCAAGTTATCGAAATTTCAAGGTTGTATAAGTTTATCAAGTTATCACCGCTTGTCGAATTTTATCGTGTTATCAAAATTTAGAGGTCTCCAAAGTTTATCGATTTATCGAAATTAATCGAGCCCTAAAAATGCACAGTTATCGATATTTATCGAAATGGGCCGAGCTATTGAAATTTGTTAAGTAATCGGATTTTAGTGTTTTTGATATACAGCGCATTATCGATATGTATCAAATATCAAAATTTATAGACCAACTGTCATGTAAAAGTCCTGCCAAAATCATTCAAAGATATACAAAATTTTAGTCACGTTTTAGTTCCAAAGCAGGAGGAGACGACGTGCTAAGTTAGAAAACCTTTCCAAGGCTCTTAAAAAACTAGAAAAAGGGTCGAATTTCGACAGTAACTGGCACTAGGGTATAGATATAATTTCCTATATCTTCTAATTGTTTGAATAAAATGTGTATAACAACCTTCTCTGTGTACTTCCCTACAATCCCCTTTAAAATTTTGTTTAAATCGGTTCAGTCGTTTTTACGTGATGTCCGCACAATGTAAACGGCCTATGTTTCTGAAAATTTACATTTCTTGAGCGTCGATATTTTCTTAAAAACTTGTGAAATTATGCACAAAGTATCGGTTAGTTTTTTTCATTGCACAAATGCGATTCAATATCGAAAAACGTTAACTAACACTTGCACATTATACAAAAATAACTATCAGCTCCCTCAGCAAAATCCAATGTCACCCACACTTCACTTTTGTCCCATGTCTGTGATGCAAAGTATAATTAAAATCCTCTTAGAAAATACAAACAAACAATCACTTACCAACTAATAATATTCGCTACTTTCAAATGTAGACACTCATACACGAGGGTGGTCTTGTGCCAAAAACGCTCTATAAAATGAATTCATTGGAAGAGGACGACGCGGATGAGGAGGAAAAGAAACCACAAGAGGCTGGCGCCTTGATGCACGAACATCGTAGTCTCTATAAAACAGTAGAATTGCGTACTGGTTACATACATGAAGTGATCATACCAAATCAGGATCCAAAAAGTGTACTCACCTGGGACTTCGATGTGACACGCAGTGATCTACACTTTACATTGTATCGTGCAACGAAAGAGCTGCCGTCAAAAACTGGTGAGTGCCTACAATGGCATTTAAAGACTATGCAGTTACCTTAAGTATTTCGGTTACCGTTTCTAGATACCGCCGTTTCTATATTTGATATGAGTGATTTCGTCGAGGGCGAACACTACTTCAAGGAGGAACCAACGCTCATTTGTCGCCACCGCGAAAGCGTGCAGGTGAGTGTGGTTGCCGGTATTGATAGAATGAGTTCTCCTCATATTTTTACTTCTTTATCCCGTTTTTTTAGGGTTCCCATGTAATGCATCACACCCACAGTTATATAATGCAATGGTTCAGCCCGTCATGCGGTTCCGAGGGTCCCGCACAATTGAACTTCTTCTACGAAGTACTGAGTTCGGCCAACTACAAAGGTTCCATGACTAGTTTGCAATCGGGTTTCTCATCATCGTCGGCTGCCAGTTCGTGTCAGAGTCGATGATATGAAGCGAATAATGGTGCGGCCTGTAGTAGCGGTGCAGCAGCAGTGCTGACGTTGAATGGTAGGCAGGGAGTGGGGGCAGCGGGAAAGCTGCGCCAACAGCAACAACATAACGGTGAGGAAATGCATGAACATGGCATTGTTGCCGTCGATTCGCTAATGGAGAAGACATTGAATTGAGCTGAAATAATGAGTGTGTGTGTGTGTGTAGCGCAAATCAGTACACAATTAACTATAATTTTTGATTTAATTATAAATATGCAGTAGTTTTATATAACTTCAAATGCTTATAAGGAAAATATTTACTAGTTTAATAAAATTTAAATAGACGCTATAATTTAATTTGAAAAAAAAAACAAAAAACGTGGGTAGATTGATTTTAAAGCGGATTTTTAAAATATAGCAGAATAATTAAGTTTTTAGCTAAAGCATGAATAATAGTGAAATATTTGCGCCCATATGAAAGTGAGGTTGAGAAAAATTGCAATTTTAAGAAAATATATATTTTGCTTTATTTTATTTTCTAGGTATTAACAATATAACGAACACAAAAATAAATCAAAAGTAGAATAAGAAAAAAGTAAGCCAAAATTTAGTGCTGAATGCTTGAAATTTGTTTTAAAAATCGTTATCGATAAATCGACAACAACAGGATTTATTAAATATCAATGAAGCGATAACAAAAATATTTATCGGATAATGATTAATCGGCAACAAAAGAATTTATCGTGAAAAAAGTTAGGTATATTGTTAAATCGATAAGAAATTATGCTCGATTAATCGATAACAAAAAGATGTATCGTCAACAAAAAGTTATATTGTTAAATCGATAAAAAAAATTATGCTCGATTAATTGGTAACAATATTTCGGGGATTAATCGATAACTAAACAAACAATAATTGTTTACCGTAAGCAAAAGAATCATCATCATTAACAGCCGAATCGAATGTGCAATAAAATGAAACACACCAGCAAACACATATGTATTTTTGAAGAACTTACAAAAACCACACATGCAAGAGTGCTAATACAAAACAATAACAAAAGTTTAAAGGCTTTATTGGAATTGTAACATGTTTTTTAACCTTATCGATAACTTGTAAGCGAATTAAGCCAAACATTTTTTGCAAGTGTAACCAATTAATCTTTTAACTAAATATGTACATACATATGCACTGAAAATACAATTAGGAAAAGTTATCGATAAACAGCATATCTAATGGTATTAGAAATGTCCGATCTTTCCTGTTGATGCTTCATTCTGATGAGTTTTTAATAAATAAAGAAAGGCAGTTAGTGCTTGTTTCCACGCCGCACTCAATTATATTATTGTACATACATCGCAGTTCAGAACTGCTCTAAAAAGGTTCTATGTTCTTTAAACTTATCTGAAATATGATTTTGTAAAAAAAAAAAAATATTATAACGTGTTTTCATGTATGCTTTAAATTATATGATTGCATACCCTTACTTCGATGGGTTCATCATAAAATCTTTTTTGTTTATATTATGTGAAGAGCGCGATTCACAAAAAAACGAGTTTATAACATGTTTTCACCGCAAATAGAGTTACATATATATATGTATGTATGACAATATATAGTACGTATTTCAGCAGCCTTGCTTAAGCAAATACATATCCAATAATCTTGAAAACTAAATTTAAATAAGATGAAGAAGATGCTTATACCCTGTTTCCATGTCAATTAACACGTATTAGGGAATTCAAAAAAATTTCAAGTAAAATTCGTCTTTTATAATGAAAAAGTTTATAGCCTTTTTTCACAACGAATGGTATCATGTGATTGAAAATGATATTTAGCTTTCCAGTTTATTATCGAAGCACAAATTTAACTGGGTTTTTTTTAGAAATCAGATGTATAAACATTAATATATGGGTACTTTAGAAAATGCGCACTATGACCACGGTTTTCTTGTGCCCTCCTAGCTCATCTCAATATCTCCTCGGGCCTTTAGTGCCCCAAGTAACCTAAGGGATCCCAAAGTGGCTGATTGTGAACCTGCATTTCATCTGGCCAGATCGCAAGCATCTTCATTTGGCGCATTCCAAATGCAGTGCAGTTCAAACCATATCAAAATGCCAACTGGGGTAATATTAAACAGTTCTCGGTTTGCACTATAGAATACAATAACCCTTTGTGATACTTGCTACTTTCCTTAAACTAATTTTTGAGTGAGTGCTTAGTTGTCTAAACCTATTGTAGGTATAGTTTTGAAACACTGTTTAGTTGGCTCTCAGTGGGTCTGTCAAACAAGTCAAGCGTCTTTAAAATTAATTTCAGTCAAGAAAAAACTTTTTTTTTTAATCATTTCCCGCTCGCTGTCGTCATAGGAGCCATTATACATATGCACTATTTTATATAACAAATGTGGTTATTAAAATAGAGTGTGCAATATGGCCTATTTCAAGACTTGCATGCAATTTTTAGAGGTAGTAGCAATGCATTATACTATGTACCGCAAACAGAGCAGCGTCTGAACTAAAACAAAATATTTTGGTTTGATTGATTTGAAATTTTAAAACCCTATTCACCTACGATTTGTGAAAAGGATCTGTCTTGTGTGAGTCAAAGCTGCGTGGAAACAAGCTACTAGCCAAAAGGTTATTCAATTCAGTTTTAAGTCGTTGCTACCAACTCTTAGAGCTTAATCTACCTGGAAATCAGTCAGTTGTGTGTGTACAATAAACCAATAAAAAAAATCTAAAATGTTTTAGATAGAAAAAATGCAATTAAAATTTCTTTTTTTTGGAAATTAATTTTAGAGCGATATACATAATTCGTAAAAAATCTAATAATTAAAAAAAAAGCAAATGAAATATTTTAGAGTTAATTTATAAAAAATTTTCCAATTAAAAATTTTATTTAAGAACTACATTTACAAAAAATGCAAAATATTTCTTTAAAAATATCCCAAAACTTTCTAAAATTCTTGTTTTGTTTTAACTTTTAAAATTTTTGGAATACCTTTTTGGAAAATTAATTTTAGAACTACATATTTTGCAAAATTAATTCCAAAAATGTATAAAAAATGCAAAAACTGTCTTTAAAAAATCCAAAAGATTCTAAAAAATGTTCTTTTCTTGTTTTAAATTTAAAAATATTTGGACAATTTTTTGGAACATTAAGGAAATCTCAAAACTTTCTAAAAAATGTTTTTTTTTTGTTGTTTTAAATTTTAATATTTTTCGAACATTTTTTTTTTTAACCGAAACAGACTTTCCAAATGGGCACATACAATTCTGCAACAATGCGCATAAAAAGCAACTTTTAGGCGATAGGAAATTTTTCGATAGGCAACGCTTTTTACCGCACTCCCCGAGAAAAATGGTTGTAATGAAACTAATATAAAATTATGAAATATGTACATACATCTGCATGTATGTATGTATGTGTGTATATATCTGTACGAACACACATATACTTATGTACATACATCATTGCATGCAAAAATACTTGTAAAGTGTTAATATTTATTTTGTGTCAATTAACACAAACGGCTGAAACAGTTTAGAAGAATTATAGGAAATAAGAACACACTGCAAACAACCCATATGCATGTGTATATATCAAATGCAAACCGCCTATGTGCAAAGCAAATAAATATATTTGAAAATATTTAGCAAACTTATTTTTTAAGTACCTACCTACAAAATTGTAGTTTATTAGAAATTTTACCAGCATATGTACATATGTATGTATTTGCAGGTACAAAAATAAAACATACATATATAAAAGGAAAAAATGCGAATTTTTTTTAGCTTTTTATATAAACAACAAAATTTTTGCAAAGTGCAACAACGGATATAGTATATGTACAATGTGCATACATACATAAACATTACGTATGTGCATATGTGTAGTAAGTATGTATGTGGTTAAAATCTGTTAACCCTTCACTGAACACAAAGTATTAGCAGTATTTTACGTGTAGCGTTTAAGATGGTAAGTGTTGGCCTCTGATTTGCTAAAAGAAATTCTAATTCTATAACCAAAACTTAGTGCGTAAGTACTCCTGATCTTGTATACCTATTACTTGTTACCTTTTATTTAGAAAAAAAAAATAAAAATTTCGAGAATTAAAATAAAAAGTATAAGTAAATTTTTGCTAAAGGTTCTTTGAAAGTAGACGTTTGCTGAAAAAAGCACACTGTGCATTATGCTTTTGCACTATAAAACCAAAACATTTTGAACACCCATTTCGTTATGAAAAGTATACAAAATCACACTTGAGTTTATACTAGTAATGGGCAAAATTTTTAAAATATATACTTACATACATACATACACTTTGTTAAATATTTGCATATGTACATACGTGCATAAATATATCCATGCAAATTTTTACAAACGAATACACATATTATGCATACATAAATACACAAATGCACATACATGCATACATATTAAAAAAAAAAAAAAAAAAAAAACCCAACAAATAATCATAATATAATATACTGCGCTTAGAGAAAAATGCTGAGCCTACATATTTTTCGCGCTAAATCCAAAATTTTTCGCCCAATTTTCTAATAAACATTAACACTACATACCAGGGACCGAAAATAATCGTTATTATGAAGTAATTTCATTTTAAAATCAACGCAAATCGCGGTATTTTTTTCTTTTGTGTTTTTACGATCATTTTCCATCGTATTTCGATCATATTATAAACGTTATTTTCAAATTTAATTTTTTAAATCATAAAATATTTAAATCGGTTATAAAAGCGCAGTCTCTATTATAATGGTTAAAAATTACGAAATGTGTACGAAAAAATTTAAATCACAAAATAACTACATATTGGAGTTGATCAACAAAATTAAAATTAAATAATAACGACCAACAATTTTCGAAAATATGAAAATCATAAAATAACGATTAAAAATTTTATCGGTGACATAAAAATAACAAAATAACGATTAAAAATGATCACAAAATTAAAATCACATAATAACGGTTAAAAATTATCGATAATTTTTGATTGAAAAAAATTTAAATCACAAAATAACGATTAGAGATGATTGCAAAACAAAAATCATAAAATAGCAACTAAAAATTATGAAGAAATAAAAATCAGAAAATAACGATTAAAGTTACTCAGTGAATCGAAATTTGAAATTATGATTTTTATTACAAAAAATATCATAACGGTAACGGTCCCTGCTACAAACAAAAACACATATATCAGAATGGAATGAAAAAACAGATTCTCGAAGTTACGTACTATAAGCAAATAAGAAAATGTTTCATGTTAATTAAATGTATAAGCATAAATAAAAAATATTTACTGAAAATACACTAATTTTATTTTATTTAATAAAAAAAAAAAAAATATTGATACATATATCAACCACTTGATCAATCCGATTTTTGGCTCTTAAAGCAGTCAAAGAGCCAGCAAGTGCTACGCAAAAAATAAATCAGCTCTCAGGGTAAAGGGGGTGTAAAAAAATACATTAAAAGCATCATACATATATACTAGTAATGCGAGTCGGAGTACAAGAAATTTGAATACACTCTTCTTCCCCCTTCATGCTGGCTTTTGATGGTACCCCTCGCCTGGCACCTAAATGTGCCAAGCCGGCTCCTAAGTGCAAAAGGCTACTGGGAGCCACTTTGGCCATCTGTGCCCTAGGTAAACTAAATTCTTCCCAACCAAACACAGATGGTTTTAGCTTCATTCAAATTTCTTTTGGCTACTTAAGCAACCCTGGCAAGAAATATGTAATTAGTTTAATGGATTTTATATACAAAAGCCAATGGAAATTAGTAATTTTGAGATGTATAATTAACTTCCCTTAGCAATTTCCCATCAAAAATTCACAATAGAGCACTTTTTGTACTTAACAACACTACGCTTCAGGTCGCCTATTTTTTAACCATCCTGGCTGAACTCGGATGAATAACCGAGTTTAATTTGTTGCTTTGCATCTATTTAGTTCCTTCAACGAGTGTTCTTTTGTAGCTCGGTTGCAAATTAATGCATCTTTTCTTAAATTTCGCATTAGCGACTTCACCAAGTTGAAATTCAATAAACCCGTGGTCCGCAAGCGGCCTTGCCTTCTTTGAAGTTACAAATATGGGTTTAATTCCCACGTTCAAAATGCTAGTCCCAGAAGACAAGATATACTCGAAAAGCTGATTCCGACTTGCATTGCCCTTAGGTTAGGTAAGATAACTTAGGCTCACGTGGCTGCTGGTCAATTGGCCAACACACGTAGGCCTGCAAATAGGCCCTTTGTGATACCACAGAGATCGAAAAAAAAACTACTCTTTTTTGAACCAGGCAGTGTAGTGATGACATCTGAGTAGCTGCCGTATATTCAACTTTTCCACTGCAAAGAGACTTTTTCCTACTTCCACTCACCTTCCCTCCGCTGAGGACCCCTGTTGAAATCAGAGTATCAGTAGTGCAAAAAGCGAGCTTTAGCATGGATACAAAAGCGGAACTTGTGTTTTCCGTACAAAATCCCACTACTCCGACATATTTAGTTCGGTAGCACTGGCAAAACCTTTACGATTGTAACATGATAGTAGGACCAATAGTCACCGATTGGGCAGTGGCTTCGGCTTCCAGAACTACTCTGGCAACGGTGAGGCAGATCCTCACCAAGATTTAACATCTGGCGTATGTTTGCATTACTGGGGCAATGCACACATGCCCGATTGCAGCGTTGGAGGTAATTCTGAAACTTGAGCCACTGCATGTTAAAGTTGAACAGGCTGCAAAGCGAACCACTCCTAAATTTTGCGAAAGGGTTTTACCAAAGGTAAGGTCATAACCATTTCGGAAAAGGGACGAGGAGGCTAGCTCCCAGCTCCCATTATTTTTGCTCCCCAGATTTGATATGCATAAGGTAATAGTTTTGGAAAGAAACTTTGGATCAAGACGGCCTGGAGTACCTCTGTTACTTAAAAACATGTCCACGCGACTACACCAAAGTGGTACACTGACGGCTCTAAGACTTTTAGGGTAATGGAACAGGCGTATATGTCCCCAGACTGAAGCTTTCGCTGCCGCTGGGAACATTTTTAAGCATCTTCCAAGCAGAAGTCTATGCCATCAGTCTGTGTGCGGAGATAAACCTTCGCAGGAATTATCGTAGTGAGAGGATCCTCATTTTAAATTATGGTCAAGCGGCACTCAAGGCTCTCCCACCCTTCGAAGTCAATTCCTTAATGGTGTTGGAGTGTAAAGAACAGCTTAATTCCCTGGCTGAGTATAATCCTGTTACAATTCGACCAGTTCGCCAGAATGGCCACTGCTCCGACCCCGATAGGATCTGAACGCTCCCTTAAGTAACACGAGAAAGGAAGCGCTCAGAACGAAAAACACCAAACTTGGGGAACTGCCCTGGCGTAGCACCATGTGTATTCGTCAAGCTGAAAGCTTACTATTAGGCTGCAATCTAAAAAGATATAAACCACTCACAAAACTAAGAATCATTACAAGCATTTTGACCAGCCATTCTAGGCTAAGAGGCTAGTTGCATTAGCTAGAAATCTGGATCTATGTCGCTGTCTCCGCAAAGGAGACATCACTGCACCCGCTACTGGAGTGTGGGGCCCTTTCACGTAGAAGTGAGAGGCGAATAGGGCATCTATGGCCAAGAGAGGAGCACATGCACTCCCTACCACCGGCATTTATTCTGAAATTTATTGCACCCTAGGGCTAACTGAGGTATTGTGATGAGCTGACAGCTCGATAGACCTGTACTGGTCACAGTGCCTACTCTATTTATATGTATTGTCACAAGACACGAATAAAGATGCGAGTTCAAAAGTTGACCGCGAAAAAAACGCGTAAACTAATTTTAGTGCATCTCTATATGTGTCAAGTGACGGTATGTCCCTATCTTATCTACTACATCCGCTTCGCCGTTTGCTTCCGTCTTTTTTTTCCTCCTCTTCCGGAAAAAAAGGGGCCTACGTCCTCTCTAGGTGGTCGGCTATCTTATCGAAATTTATAAAGGCCAATTTTCAAATAAGATAGTGTCAAATCTTTTTTCTCTTTCGGTTTACTACACCTGGTATAATTTCACCATGATTTGAGGGTAGCAAATGGATAATAATTTTTCCGTTCAGCCATCTGATACATATAATCACAATTTAAAAGTTTATGATTCCCATAAATTTTACTTAAAAGCTTTTCGGTTAGAAAGTTTTTTAATTTAATTATTTTTTTTGTTCATTCGTGAATACCCCCAACAGCTGTTAATGACATTTCGCTCCAAACAGCTGTTTTTGTATTGCGCTTTATGAGTTTATGAGTAACAAAACACAAACAAACGCTTCTATAACAAAAACTAAAATAAATACAAATTAAGAGAGCGCAAGAAATGGAATTCATTGAGCACAAACTAATCAATAGCGAAGTAATTTAATCGGCAAGCAATAAGCAAGCGCACTAACCTCAAGTAAAAAGCAAAAGTTTTACTACATTTACAACAAGCAATAAATAAATCAACGACCGCATACGCGCTGGTGTACTAAACAAAAACTGACCGTACATGCAAACATCTGGCCAAGTTAACGATAAAGGGCTTGTGATTAAATTATTTTAAGGGCTGATTGAATATAGCGATTGTTTTTTTTTTTTTTATATATAAACGTTTATGCAGTGGAAAATAGTAGGGCTGTTCAGAGTATTGAGCAAATTATCTTGGATTTGCATTTGCAAATTTTATGCTTGCTACCATGGCAACAGTTTGCATTTAATCGTTATGAATTTACAAATGCACCAAAATATGCAAATGCAGGTCATACATATGTATGTGCAAGTTAAAAATATCCCTAATATTTAGCAATAAATCAGATCAAAGAAAATTTTGCTGTGGTCTAGGGTGCAAAATAATAAAAAACCAATCGACGTTGGCATTCATAAAATATTAAAAAACAAAAAAAATGTATAAAAGAATATAATTATCGTTTCGGTGATACGAGAAAATAACAACGCACAAAGAAGCAGTGATTCGCTGTGAACATTGGCACCCATTATCAGCGTGCTTTATATCAATATGACCAATATTACACCAGCCTATGGAATTATCTAATCGAGATATTGGACGGATTAGCCCAATCAGTTCTTAATAGTCTAAGCGCAATGAAAGCACGCACATAGGGTGGTCCAAAAGAAGTAAAGTCGGAATTTTAATGTTCTTAACCCTAGGATTGTTATATTGTGCAACAAAAATGACTTTTTAAAAACACCTAGAGTGCGCAGATATCAGGTTTGATAGCTGTTGGCCACATAAACAATGCCTCATACTCAGTTTTACCGGATCAATTCGTATTCTCGAGAAAAATAATTTTCATGATCCAAAAAAATAATTTAGAAAATTCATCGTTTTTTGGCCTATAGTGGTTGAAAATAGTGTAAACGAGCAACACGATAAGTTTAGAAATTTGTGGAAAAAAGTTTTGGGCGCTATACTCAGATTTTTGGATCATGAAAACTGTTTCCTCGAGAACACGAACTGATCTAGTAAATCAGAGCATGAGTCATTGTACGTGTGGCCAACAGCTATACAACCTATTATATACGCACTCTAGGTGTTTTTTTTTTGTTCTATAGTGTTATATACCCAAAAGTCAGGGGTCTGTTTTTTTTTTTATTTTAAAATTAAAAAGATATTGACAGGTTTACATACATTAAGTCATATATAAAGTTTCCCATATATTTTATATGGAGAAAAACAGTATTTTGCAGAAATGGTATAGAATTCTTCTAACTAAATATTTTTTAATCGGAAAACTCTGTTTCGCTTCAGGATGCTGCCAGTAATAATACCCAATTGTTTTTGTTTAACCATTTTTAATAAAAACGGGCACCCCATTACATTTTTTAGGGATTATGGGGGGACTTATAAGTTAATAGTTAATATTAAAATTAATATTAAAAAATGGTAACAAAAAACATTATTATTATTGGAAGTCTCCGGAATTATTCGAAATTATTGATTTTCAAGAATTTTATACCAATTCTACGAAGAATTGTTTTTTCCCCCATATAGAATGCTTGGAAAACTTTGAGTGCTTTGAGCGAGCTCTAAATATATTTTTATTTAGAAATTAAAAAAAAACACAGGTAGCATGAAAATTCGAACTTAACATTTTTCAACCGCATTTTGGACCGCCCTAATGTACAAATTTATGTAAATATGTACCTACGTGCATTATTCCGTTCCACCTCATAGGCAAGCAAAAAAAAGTTCGCTGTGCTCCCCTGAGTCTTTAAGTATTTTTGTAAGGCAATTACAGGAAAAAAATTGCAGAACCTAGGTGTAATCTTTTTTAAATTTAAATTTTTCGGTGACACATACTTTCGGCAATAACATTTTTTTTTTTAAATAGTTCTCGAATAATCGAAAACCTCGTGAGTGAGCTTTAATTTAATGTCATGAGGGTACTACGTTAGCGTGATAAGAATTGATATTTGCTGGGAAAATACTGAAATTATTTAAAACTTTCTCGCTTTATTTTCTCGACAATCGACTCTCTTAAAGAAATCTTGAGGGAAAATTTTCCAATAAGATAGATAGTATTTTGTTTAGCAAAAAAAAAAAAACGATAGTATCAAATCTTACTTCTCGCTCTCACTGAAGATATGTTAAAAAATTTAAAAGGCGACCCCTACGTTCGCCTTTAAAAAAAAATTACAATTTTTTTCTTTTCAAATTGCCATGAAAAAATTCTTTGGATACAGGCGTGAATGGCGAGCTTTTATTCTGGTATGGTCTAATGTACCTACGCATGTGTGTGTACATAAATAAATGCACACGAATTCCAAGGTGCGCTAACTATATCTATTCTTGATAAAGCTAACGATATTGTGTTCGAAAATAGTTGCAAATCAAAAATAGCGCTGTGCGGTCGGAATTACGTTAGCCCGCAATTTGCACAAAATTTGGCCTGAATAAATTAAAAAAAAAAAAAAACGAACGACCTTGCCTTTTAACGTCTTAAGTGTTGTGGAAACATTGAACTCTCAATATGGTGGCAATTACTAATAACAAGTAAGTGAATAGTTTCTTAAACATAAAAATGTGCTACGAAATCACTGGACTGGTATTCTGTAGTGTTTAGTAAAGTGTTACAAAGTAATTAACGAATGTATGTTGATTAGGGTGGTCCTTAAAGTAAAATTAATGATTTTTTTCAGTCTCATCTCCTCAATCGGTAATACCACGGTCATAGGTATCACATATATCGCATGAGTATTTAATAGTGTACTACCGGGGGCAGTAGTCAGGTTGACATGGGGTAAAAACTGACCTTCTCTGGCTCCTGCAGCTTATAATCAGTGACGGAGTTGTTGCAACGGAGTGGGGTGGTGCCACCGTCCAGCGCAAGATAAAAAGGGGCACGCCCCAAGGTGGTGAGCTCTCCCCCTTCTCTAGATCCTGAACCTACTAGAGGAGTTGGTGTGTAGGTGGTGGCGGGCAAATTTTTAGATACGCTATACGACTTAAC